CCAGACGGCGGGATATAGAAAATGCTACTTTTATTTTATTTAAATATATTTAAAAAAAAAAAAAAAGAAAAAAGAATTAATCCAGTGTCTAACTTATTTCATTAAAAAACACTTTTAATCATATAAACAGTATGGCTTTTGTCGATATCGGAATTTCCGGAAAAGTTATCTGGCGCGTATGAAAATTTGTGTATAGATATAGATACGTATAAATAAACAAATATGCACGCATATACAAATATACACGTCATATATATATATATATATATATATATATATATATATATATATATATATATATATATATATATATATATATATATATATATATATATATATATATATATATATATATATATATATATATATATATATATATATATATATATATATATATATATATATATATATATATATATATATATATATATATATATATATATATATATATATATATACATGTATATATATATATATATATATATATATATATATATATATATATATATATATATATATATATATATATATATGTATATATATACACTCATATATATATATATATATATATATATATATATATATATATATATATATATATATATATAAGTGACACCTTGAAGTGAACACTCAGAGTCGACAGGCTGTTTTCATGCTAGACGCAATCGTATAATATTTATATTTAAATACGGTCTATCCCTGATATTGAGCACTTTATCCCATAAATACAATTTCTTTATATTCTTTATATATATATATATATATATATATATATATATATATATATATATATATATATATATATATATATATATATATATATATATATATGTGTGTGTGTGTATGTGTGTGTGCGTGTGTTTTTGTGTGTGTGTGTGTCTGTGGGATAACGATATGTAATTTTCTATATATCAAGACAAATTTGCGGGGAAAGATGCATGTTTTCGTTTTAGGACTTCATCCGACTAAGTTTATGTTTACAATGATGCGACTAAACGTGTGCATGAATGAGTGATGCTGGTCATTTTAAATTTCTTACAACGTTTCACCATTCTTGACAGATCTTCCGTTATCACAATGGGGGATATTTAATAACAAAGGTGAGGTAAACAAGACCAAAAAATAATCTAAATGAAATCAGCTGGACTATATACCCAAAACACATTAAAGCAAAATAAAATATATTTACAATTTCCAGCACACCAACGTAAACAAATTTAGTCTGATAAAGTCCTAAAGAACGAAACGCGTCACACGAAAACCTTTTTCACTTACATCTTTCACTATATATATATATATATATATATATATATATATATATATATATATATATATGTTAACATAGAGTTTACCGTTACATCTAGCCATTTGAACATTAAATTGATGAGACCTTTCCGCTAATCTAATAGAGCGCTTAAATTCATAAAGAGTAGGTATAAAGTTCATCCGGACAATTACCGAGAAAGTATTTAGAGAAAAAGCACAGAAGCTACCTGACGGCGGTGTGAAAGTGACTGAAGCCGAGATGTCAGGTATAATCTTCTAGATTCTTCTTAGGGTTTTATCAAGAACCTCTAAATATATAGCAAGAGCACCAGACCAGATGTGGCCTCACTATCCAAAGCAAGGTAGAATGGTAGACTAATAAATATATAAATAATTATTAATATCAAAAACTAATTTTCTGTTTATACTATTTATACTATTTATATTCGGACTATTGCTTCCATCTTTATGATTATCACAAGGTTTCGACCTTTCTACTGTCCATATCTAGGGATACCAAATTCACAAACCATTATCTAAGGATACCCAATTCACGAACCGACGACTTAATTAACTCGGCTTTTTCTCACATTGGATACAAATACCAAAACGTTGTGATAACATCAACAAAAATTATCAGTCAGTTATATGCCATACGTGATACACGCTTAAGCAATCATGTATCTTTTGATACATAACTGACGAGGCAGAATTTTCCCGCAGTAGGTTGCCATTTCTTTCTGCGGTAGACTAGTTGCCATCCAAGGCTACAGAACCCGGTCTGTTCTGCTATTTACCCATAACTTGGGGGGAAGAGGAGTCATACCTTTCCCAAGGGTAAGGCACGTAAGTGAATTTAATGGCTTTCACTGGAATTTGAACTCAGCTCCCTGATTCCTCAATCTGAGCTGCTATCTATTACTCTACCGTGCTCCCGTATATAAATATTGTAAATAATGATAATTCCTCACCCCAGAATTTTATGCAGAAACTAACTTTCTAGTTTCAGAATACTCTAGGTCGTTACACTCTACGACCGTATAAATGAGAAATAAAAAATACTTCCAACTCAAACTTACATCCCAGGTTAAGCATTTATTTTTAAAATTCTTCACTGATTACAAGGCCCAAGGGATACTCAAGGCAGAGAGTTAATGGATGAGGTTTTTGTATGGACGGAAAAGTGCAGTTTTGAGTATATGTGGGTTATATAATGGTTGACCCAAGATCTGAA